CTTCGATCAGAATCGAACGCACTAACCTTGAGCTACGCGCTCGTTGTCTTGCAGGGTTAGGTCGAGGGATATTGACACTCATTGACGAACGTTAATTCCTGGCTGATAAGTCTGAAATGGCCATTTAAATCACCCTTGTCTTTGCCGGAGAGTATTCTTATTTGTTGGTCTTTCCTTTGGTATTGGATTTTGGGCATCTGATTTGAGAAGTGGTTAGAAAATTTCTCCGTAAAAAAAGGTAAAACAATACTACACCTCTGGCTGGGCATTGCCACAAAACCTTGAGAAAATGTACCCGAAAGTGGGTATGTGTTCCCTTACTGCAACTAACACCGGGCCACTCAGGTGGTCCGGCAAGAGATGCATTGTGTGAGTACGGTTTGAGTTCCAGTGCACATGGAATTTTATGTTTTCTTGCGAAATAGTGAAGAATCAGAAACATGTCTAAAGCCTTTTCGCACTGGGAAAGGTTGTTATGGTGCAGAACAGGCCCTATTTAAACAGTGATGCCATTCTCATTTCACGAAACGTTTTGTAACGATTCAGTTTTTGCTTAAGGGTTGCTTCAGTAGTGAGAACGTGGCAGGAGGAGTTTTAGATAGTACTATTATTTTGTGTGTTTGTGTGTGCAGATTAGAATGGAGTAAAATAAGATTGCGTGGAGTGGTCGACTTGTGGATTGAGAGTCAGGGGGTAATGGCCGCTTCTTAATGTGGCCTGACGATGTGGTTAGGGTCAGCTCTATCTGCTTCAGTGGGCTGCACACTCTTTCACCTCTGATATTTTAACTGGGTTATGACACCAGGCTTAGTTGAGGGAGAGGAAGAGAGTGCGGCAGATACAGTGCAAGTCTGCTCTTGCAGTGACTAACTCCAAAAGAAATGCATTTTGAACGCTTGTCATAACTAGCTGAAGTCAAAGTGAATTTGTAAACACGCACTGCTTCCGGCCTCTGGAACAGCCAATCACAGGTCGACTCACAAAGGACCTCATGTGACGACTGCCGAGCAGACATCACTTCAGACGCGTCTGCTGGCTTGTGGTTGTGCAGTCGTCTGGTAGTCAATTTGCTCTTCCTTATTCTCCATTTCCTTCTGTACAGAATAAAGTCTTCCTACCACTCTGGCTTCACATGACTTCTCTTCTCTTTAGGAACCTGGTCTGAGCATCGCAGTTGCCAGGGTTTAACTTACTTAACCCCCTGTGATACTCCCACTATAATCTACTTCATACGCAAGTCATCATCCCTGTACCACCTTGTTGTGGAGCACATGGTGGACCTCGTTGGATACGAGGGTAGAATTTTCGCGGTGAAAATAAAACCTCATTTGTCACCAGCAACCAAAATGTTCTAGAAACAAAAGTATTAAAGCGCTGGTGAGCAACACAGCGGAGCTATTAACCTTGCTCTTGTAGACAACAGACACTGCAAGGCGAAGAGGCACAGGAGATTCAGCATAGGAAAATGGCTTTATGCCATACTTTTGTAGATAAGCTCAACAATGAGTAGGAGCATTTATTGAACTCAACTCGTCCTTCTTTACCTCAGTAGTCTAAATTTGTTTTGATACCAACTAGGTCAACGCAGCAGTCTGCCTTTCTGAAAGGGATTTTAGGTGGACTGAGAGCCTACAGCAGCTGTCAAACGAAGCTTCACTTGGAAGCCAATACCAGCGAAGACGCGAGCCCAGGAAGTGATTGAGAAGAAGCAAATGCGACCGATAAAACAAGAACTTTATTCGTCTGACGTTTCGGATCCCGTCGCGAATCCATCCTCAGAGACAATAGCACAAACGGGTAATCCATAATTGTCGCTATGTTACTGCATACCGAGGAAAATCAACGGTTCCCCCTATTGAGAGTAGTTGCCTGCTTGTGCGCTTAATGTTTGACGGCCAGCAGGTGGATCGTGACCAACTAAATTCGATAGGCCACTGCGTTTACAATAGACTGGGGAGCCGTAAACGGTGATGCAAGCAACTCGCAACTCATAAGTTTGTCATCTCTGGCGAGAATTTTGGCCTCGTTAAATTTGAATGTGTAGTTGGGTCTCGGCGAATGATCCGCCACTTGATAATCGGTGTCATTTCTTCGCACTGCTGCCGCATGTTCAGAAATTCGTGTCTTTATAAGTCTTTCGGTTTCTCCGACGTAGGTTAATTTTCTGCAACAGCATCAGGCCCTTTGGTCGACTCCGCATGTTTCTTTCCGTGGCAGTGGCTCTTTTTTGATTAGGTGATGTCTTATGGTTGCGTGTTCGGTAATTGGTCGTCCTGAGAAGTCTTCCAGCAGGCCAAACACCTCTTTGCAGTCATCAGCACGGCCCTTTTAAGTACTCGACGTACTCTTGCAGTACTGAAGTATGCAAGGAGAACTTTAATGGTTAAAGGCAGTTGCTTTTTCTCAAGTCAGTGTATGTATTCTTACGGCTAACAAAATATAGATGTCAGATATGTGTAATGAGCCTAGAAAGAGCAATTTTCATTGTCGGATGTGAGATAGCTCCTCTGACCATAGTTTCTTATGCATATCATAGCAAGGGGTAACTTTCTTGGAAAAATTAGGAGCGCCCGTACGAGTTTATCTCTCAAATCTGCTGGATATTTATCGAGGTCCTACCAACTATTGTTTGTGTCGGCGACTGGAAAACTGACTTTTACAACGGATACCTTAGTGGCCAAGGTGAAAACTGTTGATAGGTATTTGGGCTTTATTTGGTTCTTTTAAACACAAAACTGCCTCTCTTTTCGATTAATCTTCTGCTCGAACCCTGTGCTGCTGTTTCATTTCTCACCTCTAGTTTTTAAAAAGTTATAGGAATACACAGAACTAACAGCATTTGCGTCAAGAAAATCCTGTGTGGACGATATACAAAGTTCTCTAGAGATACAAATACAGCTTTTTATCTTCGTTGATCAGGAGATTCAAAAGCATCCGCTCACGTATATTACAAACAGAAGAATCTAATCCATTGGGAGGGTTAGACAATCAATCAGATATGCCGAAGGAATGAACTGTAAGCGTATGTTTGCTTAAATTTTGACCAATGTCTCCATCCCCTAGATTAACGGATACGCCCTCTATCTTTTGCGCAGTAAATGCTTTTTTTGAAAGCTCTACACTCAAGTTTCTACTTGGTACCGTCTTATCCACGGTTTCATGCAGGCAAAGTTCCAATTTCCTCCTCCATTTCCTAATTAGGATTACAGGGATCGTCGTTACGAATAGTCTGTGTGTGTCCCCAATTAGCATGTAATTAAATTGTTTTAGCGTTAAGCATATAAAGTCGTTTTCTTGTTTAGCTGTGGACTGTTTTGGTCCGCACTGCTTATTTCTAGGCACAGTTAAATCACTATAGTGCGCCAAAGATTTGTCTTAATGCTGTTTAAAATGCGTGGTAGCAAACCACGTGACAACCCCTCAGCACCTAATTTCCATATCCGCCCCTATTTCGCTGCAGACAATAGGTATCCCGATATGTTACTCGCATGTGACCGAGTGCCATGAGTATGGATTTCCTTTTTTATACAGCTGAACAATCGTTGAGTAAACCAAAGCACTGTCAAATGAATTCCTTTTTGTGTTGTATGAAAAAATCTTTATGAATTTTCAAAGAATAATTTTCAAAAGTGTACGCGCCTCTGGTTTCTTGAAACCAATA